TCCAAAGGGGCTGTTGCCCCACCAAAGTCTTTACTTTCTTACTCAACGGGGCCTAGCCCCATGCAGGCTGGACGGACATTTGAGCGATTGGGGGGAACCCCATCTTTCCAACCAATTGCACTTTGCCTTTTTGAGCATATCTCACCTTTGGCACCCGCAAATGGCGGGGGCGCACCTGCGCGCGGTGTAGGGGGGCTTGCTCCCCTGCACCACAACCCTGTGGAAAGAAAGAAGGAAAGAGAGAGCGAAAGAGCCACCATACAGGGGGAAGAAGCCTCGTAAGTTGGCACCGAACCTGTTCCATGCCGGAGGTACTTGGTAAATCCACTTGTTGTTCTGTTTGCTTACTTCATGCGGGAACAGTCTTTACTGGGCGTTTGTTGCAGTGCTGGAGGGACAAGGCACTCAAGGAGTTTGCAAGAGGGGTGCAGGATGGTGCGCGGGTGGACTTCGGACACGACATGACACGACCTCCAACCTCTCCAAGATCTTCGGCTCGTAGGCTTTTTTTGTGATCTTGGCTCCGCCAGTGCAAGCCTCCTTTAATGAATTTGCTCATGATTTCTGCACTAAGGCCTTGTTGCAGCTTACCTGCAATGCGGTGGTGGAGCTCGATGCAGATCTACGGATCACCGCAGATTCACAAGAGCTGGCCAGCATGCTGCTGCGGAGTAATTCGGCTTCGAATCTGGCTGGTGTGAGCTTCACAGATTTTGTCACAGCTGCAGAAAAAGATCGTGCAGCGGAGATTCTTAACTCTCGCCTCCTGCATGCGACGGGTGGATTGGACAATGAAGTCCAGACCGTCTCTGCACAGGCATTTCATACACGGCTCGTTGACAGCTGCTCCAGCAAATTTCGCACGGAGGTGTTTCAGGTGAGCTACCGAAAACTGGACGGCGAAATCTGCCACCTCATTGGCCTCCGAGATTTCACGGATCAAAGTTGCCTCGCAGGGCAGGCGGTCGACGCCATCGAAGATCCGATGACTTCTCCATCGGCATCGCAGTCTTGGGCCCCATCATCCTCACAAGATTCCATGAGGTCCTCGCAATTCGACATCGAGGAGGGCCTTCCAGGCCAGCAGTTTCTGCAACCGCCCGAGAAACCTCGTTCACGATGGGTCTTGCTGGAGCTTGATATTCCGTCAATGCAGATTTATGGAGCCTCTGCCCCGATCGGATGGTTGGCGGGCAAGCGGCTCGCGAATATTTTCCCAGAGGATGTGACGGATGGATTCCAGAAGCTATGGAATGATATTGTAGCGGTTGAGGAAAAGGGCGAGTTGGATCGGACGGTATTGTCCTTCAGCAACATAGAGATGCGCTTGAGTCCCAAGAAGACGTCTCTGATCAGCGGCACTGTGGAGGTCACCAGGACCGCATCTGGCGATCTCGACGTTTTTCTCTGCTTCCGTATGCCTCTTCCGAAACAGCGTAAGTCTTCGAGAAGGTCCGTTCGCAGCACCACGGCGGGCACCAGCCTGGGGACTTTTCCGATGCGGACATTGAGTCCCATGTCCTCAGAGTCAGTTTGCTCCCTTTAAGGGGAGGCTTCCGGGGCTTGGCATTCCCAAATCCAGCTCTGGCTGCGAAGCTGGTGCCCGCCCTTAGAATTTTCAATCTGCAGTGACATGTTCAAATCATGTGCTTGGTAAACCTGTAGAAGAACTTCTAGTAAGCTTCACGCAGTGAGCTGAGCATGGAGGGTGCCCAAAGACGACGATGCCAAGTCTCCAGAGTCTCGCGCCTTGGCCAGATTGTTCTCGTGCCCACCGCTACTGCCTGCGGCGCTGCGGGCAGATTGAAAGAAGCAGAGTGGGACACCCAGCTCAGAGCAGCTCAGAGTCTTAGAGAACAGAGCGAAGTGAAGCTGTTCTCGCTCCCAGAAAGCTTCCTTTGTTCCCGCCTCGCATTGCGACTGAGGACCTGTAGGCAAACCATGCCCGAGTAGGAAGCGGCCTTTCGAGCGTGGGCAGTCGAAAGTCGAACTTCAACCGACTTGCAAAGCTGAAACGTAGTGACGTAGTGTACTGTCCTCTACCGGCTTTTTGGCATCAATGACACGATGCAGCTGCCGTCTCTGCGTTTTGCAGCAGCATGCGGCGATCAACTTCGGCCAAAGCCCTTGTTTGGCGTTTGAGTGCAGCGCGTGCAGGCTCTAAACCGTGCCCAATTGATTGAAATGGGGTGTATTTGCAGATGTTTGAGCCATTGTCAATTTAGGCTGGAGGGCGCCTTCCAGCCTTGGCAGCGCGCTGAGGAGAAATATAGACAGTGAGGGGACAGTTGGCACTGCTTGGCACTCTGGGATGCTGGATCTCTGCATTCGGGGAGGAGCTGCTTCGGACCGCGCGGCAAGCCTCGACGCGTCTTGGAGACAAAGGGCTGGGCACAGAGGGGGGTCTTGTTGCGAAAGCATGTGGCAGATGTAACAGGCTGGCAAACAAGACTTGTGCTGAGAGTGACACAACGGCAGGAGCTGCTGCGCACAGTTCGCTTACGAGCTCGCTTGACAAAGGTCGGTCCGACGAAGCTGAGAGAGTGAAGCATGTTTTTGCCTGGGCCGGCGACAGGTCTCGAGTGGGCTCGGGCATTGCAAGCGCTTCAGGAGCCCTGCACACATCCTGCATGTATCCTGACATGTCCAGAATTGCCTTTGCTTTTTGAGGTGTCGAGATTTGATGGTCTCCCTGCATCGATGCGGTCTTATGGGTCGGGAACCCGGGCCTGCATTTCAGATCAGGCCACCGATTTCCTGCCCGACCTTTCGGGCTCTGAGGTCGGCCTTGAACGGCTTGAATTCAGCCGCCTCCGCGGCCGCATGGGGCATGGCCCTGATCTTGCTTGAGGCGAGGCTTTGTATCGTGAGGCTTGGCATGCTTCGCAGCACAGTCTTAGCAGCTAAGCGCCTCGCAGGACATGCAGGCTGCGAGTATAGAGACAAGCCGTGGGCTCAGAGCTTCCCAGCAAGGTGCTGCTTGTTACTCTCGCTTTTCCTGAACCGCCGCGCCACATCGAGGCAACATTGCTTTGCAGGCTCGTTGCGCATTTCGAGAGGACTTGATGTGTCAAAAGCAGAGCTGAGCCAGATTTGCCTGATTCTGGATGCCCCTTTACCCGTTGCAAGGTTATCCCACGTCACATGGTCCCAGAAAAAATGTCATTCCTGGCATCAGATTTGATTCTTACCGAGCCGCGTGGTCTAAAGAGAAGCAATGAGAGAACGTGCCAGTGGCTCTGGCGGTGAGGGCTTGCCCTGAGCCTCGCGCCTTCGTTTTTCGCCTTTGGCTGTGGCACCCTTTAATCCGAAAGGCCGCCATGGAGGTCTTCAACGAAGGTGCTCCTATGCCAGGCTCCCAGTCAGCTCTCACAGGAGCTCAGTAACCCGTATATTGGCTTGTACTCCCCTGTGGTTCAGGTAAGCAGGCGGAGTTTACATGTGGCATGGGTTTCAGCGACGGTGAGGCCTTCATGGTTGCTTGAACTGCTCACCGCCTCGCTCGTGGCAGAGGAACCCAGCGTCCAAGCCTGAGACAGCACCATTTGGTGCAGTGCAGGTGAGGCTTCTGCTGGATGCACCCGGGCAAAGTGCCGTGATGATGCTTCTTGCAATGATGTTTCGCCTTGTCAGTGCTGCAGGTTGGATTTGGTGGGTTTGTTGTCCTGAGGTCGTAGCCACTGCATCATACAAATTGCAGCTTCACGGGCGTCCACGCCTGAGAGCAAGATTTTTTCCTGCAGCGGCCAGGTTCCACTCCTGTCGACTGAGGCTTCGATGCGCATTCTGCGGCAGTTCTAGAACGCAAGGTGCTTCTTGGGTAGAGCAGAGCCGGAATTCTGAACTGTTTTTATGCTTCGACAACGGCTCCGGAAGACTCACGGCACAGCTTTCACAAGAATGAAAAGTCTATGAGTCTAGGACTTGGTGACCCGGATTGACTCGGCTTCTTGTCAGCGAAATGTCACGATGATACCGCAATGTCGAGTGGTGATTGCATCAATGCAGCTTGCTTCTGCTCTGCTGCAAAGCTTCCCTGATCCTGAGTCTGTCTTTCCACCAAGTGCTGTGCGTCGAAGACTCGCGAGGTGCTCCGGGGCTGCTGGATCCGCTTCCGCGAGCTTCGCCAGCGCGAGGCACCTGGCCCTGCACCGGACGCCGCAGCTGCCCCAGCCACGCAAATGTACGGAGGCCGAGGGCCACAAGATCTTGATCGCGTGACGTTTTGAGGTGCTGCAGCGGCAGGCGTCTTTGGGTGCAGGGATCGCAGAGCTTCTCAGCAAGGCTGCGTTCTTGGGTTGCGCATTGCAAGGACCTGACTTAATGGGCTTTCCTGCCAAGCTGTGAAGCAAAAGATATTTGTGATTATGTACACAGATGTATACGTATCAATCTATGTACATACTAAGACTATTATCATGATTATTAGGACGGCTGGCCGTGCGGCGACTGCACCACATGGAAGGCAGGCTTTGGGCTCACAGCCCCAGGGCCCTCGATTGGTTTTCTGGGAGGTACCTTTGATGAGTCGTGTAGCCTGGCAGCGAAGTCGGTGCCCGCTTGGGTCGAGCGCCTAGCATGACATGTTTGAGCTTTGGCGGCTCGCCAGTCATCTGATGCAAAGGTGGAAAGTCAGCTCACCCTTCAACTACCATCATCCTCCAGTGCTGGCCGCGTCGTGGGTCATAGGTGGGAAGCGTGCATTGCCGGTTGTGCCACAGCTTGTTGCATGGGATGTGACGACGCTGTGCAGGAGCGGAACGCTGGATGTCTGGTCGCCAATCCTGGCAGATCATGATCGCTCCCAACACGCAGAGCGACAGGCAAGTGCCCGGGTACGTGGGATACACGAGCCGTGGGCCTTAGCTCTCCATCCCCTGGCCCCCCTGGAAAGCTACGCCCGATGAGGGTTATGTGGATCCCGGATTTGCTGCCCCAAGGATCCAGCCCCGACATTCCCAATCCACACAACAAAATCCACGCGGTTTTGTTTCATGCGCAGACGCTGTGACACCCTAAGGTGAGCACGACCAGCCCAGACAGAGCTGACCAAAACATGGGTACCATCACAGGGAGCAGAGTTTTTTTTTTTTTTGTGTGTGCGTGCCCCATGTCGTTTCCGAAGCGCTCGCAGCAGGCACTGTTGCTGCTTCTAGGCGACTTGGATACTAGCGACACAGGACCGCGATGAGTTGCGTGCGAGGCATAGCATGTAGGATGCAGCACCCCGACAGCGACGGCAGGACCCGTTCCACCAGCAGGCGGTATTCGATTGTGCCCTGTGCCGCGTTTTTTTTGTTTTTTTCTGGTGTCTTCGGCTGCTCACGGAGTTCGACGCAGGTATGTGAGTGCGCACCCCTGCATCTCCTGCACCGCTGTCTTCTTTCAACTGGCCAGCTCCTGGAGAGGCCACGGACTGCAAGTCGTAGCTCCGCAGTTCCTCGTGGAGATGTCTCTGCGAAGGTGTGCGGCTGCAAGTCGCCTTTGATGCATGGGAGGAAACGAAAAGGTGGACGGCATCGCTGGCGCCTGAGGCATGGCAAGAGGGGATAGCTAGCGACAACTGTCTGACCGAGCCCGACACGTTCAGGCATATCGTGTCTCTTCAACAGCTTTATGCTGGTCATGTTACAGAGTCATGCACGTGCATGCACGTGCAGGAGGAAGGAGAAGAGCAACAGCGACTCCACTCGCTCGAGAGAGCACCCGATTGAGGGCTTGGCAGAAAAGAGCACTGCTGCAGACGCTGGAGCTCGCCGTATATTCTAGCACTCCAGCACATGCGGCAGCTACGGAGGATTCTCCATGCGTGTTTGTTTCGTTTGGCCGAACAGGCTGACACGGGAGGTGTCGGCGACCTGGGCAGTGCAGCAGCTGAAAAGCCTGCGGCTTAGGTCAAGGGGGCGTGCGGTGTGTGGTGAACCATGTCAGACCTGCAGGGGGGGCATTCAGAGCCAGTCCTTGTGTCTTGATCCAGGCTGTTGGCCAGTCGCGTGGCTGAGCTGGAGGCGAGGAAAGAAAGCAGACATCTCACTCAAGCCACCCGTGCGATGTGACAGCTGACCTTCACCGGTCCTCTATCTGCATAGGCTGGCGTAGCTGTGACTGCTTCTTCAGTACATGCACGGCATTTGCTAACGTCCGAGTTGTAGGGCCCATGCATATTGGCAGACGACCAAAATCTCGTGCGGGAGCGCAGTCCAACCTAGCAATGAATCCATGCTAGGTTTCTGGTCATGTAAACTTGGACCTCATGCCTAAACACTTTGACAAAGCATTGTTGGACAGCAACGGGGTTTCGGTGTGTTGGTCCAACGAATGCCGAACACAGCCAAATGCCAACGTCAGGCGCAGCTTGCGGAAGCACAGCGCAGCTCTACAGATGCCCGTGAGGCGAGCTGTCATCTAGGGTTGGGAGGATTGAGTAGGTTTGATTCGCGAAGTTGTGGAAATCTTGTTGGCCGACAATCATGTCGCTGCACTTGTTCCTGTCAAGACATTCTTTACAGAACAGCACATCGGCATCGTGCCAGGCTTGCGACGCCATGGACGGCTCTGCCACGCCAGAGGCTCAAGCAGACAAGAAGTGCGGCAAGGTGTGAATTGGGAGCTCAAGGTGTCTGTCTATGGTAGAAACTAGGTTAGTTGTTTGCTTATGGAGAAACTAGAGGTAGCCGTGTAACAATAAGACACTGAAGCATCGACTAAAGCAAGCAGTGCACTGTCCGCCCGAAATCATAATCGCAAATCGCAAGCATTGTGCTGTTTAGGTTGTAGGCTTACAGATATGATATGATTACGAGTAAGACTGCGGATACCTTCTTACAGGACTCACGATGGCTAACGTAATGTGATACTGTAGCACTTCCACTACGACTTCTACTGCTACTTCTACTGCTGCTACGTACTTCTCCTACTCCTGCCTCGATCCCTACTCCCACACTACCACCACCACTACCAGTCCTAGTGCTAGTGCTGGTACTAGTACTAGCTTAGCACCAGTACGAGCAGTAGGAGCAGTAGTAGTTGTGGTCGTCTAGTGGTAGTGGTAGCAGTAGTTTTGGTGGTAGTGGTAATGGCAGTGGTAGTCTCCCCCTCCCCCCGGTGCAACGGGAAGACCATGCGTGACAAACCCTGAAACTACTAGCACTTCTTGTTCTCACGTTTTACAAAGTGCAACTGTGCTGGTCGAACGGCTCTTTTCAAAAAGGATGTCTGTACCCTTTTCTGTTGTTCGAACTGCCGAAAATGCTGGTATTTACAGCACGTGCTTTCATTATATGTGTGTTTTACTTATTTTGCGTATTCCGAAACATGTCCAATAACCAGAAATCATATTTAAGCTTCGTTTGTTGCATTTCAATGGAGAGTTTCCAGCATTTTGGCGTTTTTGTCAACGAGTGCAACAGCGCTGGTGGAGAGGCTGTTATTCTTGAGCATGTCAGTGCCCCTTCGTGTTGTGCGACAGTCGGACATGCTGGTATTTACAGCACTCGTGCTTTTGAGTTCAGAGTATCCATGGCCCAAGCATGATGATGTCTACTGTCTAATCCGTTTTGAGTGATGGTCTGAAGCTCCTGCGGCTTTTCGAGTTGCCTTCGCAGTTGTGAGATGCGTGCTTTTTCCCAAAAGGTCGTTCAACGACTTTAGGGTTTGCTGAGCCATTCAGTTGCCTCCGCTGCCATCGCCACCGCCACCGCCACTGCTGCTGCGGTGGCACTGATGGCAGTGACTAGAGCTGCAGCTACCAATACTTGGAATGATGGTGATGATGACGACAGTCAGAAGAAGAAGAAGAAGATGGTGACAGAGGCGACGACGTTGGTGCTGCAGCTGTTGCTGTTGATGCCGAAGGGCAAAGGATGTGAACCATGGGCATAGGAGATGTAGCCCATGTCCAATACCTCCTCCACTTCCTTGAGGCGGGCCCGCGTGCGGGACTTGGAAGCCCAGCTGGCGCGTGCCGAAGCCACGACCTGAAAAGAATTCTGGACAGTCAAGCGGAGCCACCTAGTAAAAAACCTTGGCTTCATCTTCCTGAGACGGGACCCGCCCAGGAGAATGCAGCCAGCCTGAAGGAAGCAGCCAGCCGTGCTGCAGAAAGGTTGCAGGAGCAAGCCGTCAAGGTCGGGCTGCCTTCTTGAGATTGGGCAATAAACCATGTATCCAGACTGTGTCGATTCTAGTGCAGTGCTAGGAGCGGCAGCTGGAACGACAGCTGGCAGACTCGCTCGGCAGTCCCTTTGATACATTGAGATGGCACCATGCTGTTGATCACAGAGTCTCACAGACCGGACCCGGCGGCCGCATGTTTCACGAGGCTCTTGGCCGCTTCGATCCGTGATCGGTGCGGTCGAGGGCGCCACGAGCTTACATAAAGTTCACAAATGCCATGCCGGAGTCAATCTTCAGGTCCTTCGAGCTCGACCAAGGTTTCCAACACTGTGCGGGCAGCAACTGGGCGCTGCATGCGGCCGTCTGCAGCCCAGGTGAACGCGCATCACCTTCCTTGGTTTAGCTGCAGACTGTATTGGCGGAGAGAGAGCTGAAGATTAATAAGAAGAAGAATTCAGGTTGAATTGGGCTGGCTGAGGTGAAAGGTACGTATATACAATTAAGAGAATATGGGTTGCTCATGTTATCATATACATAAACTAGTTTCAAGGTGCATGGTGCGTGTGTGTGTGTGTGTTTTGTTTCTGGGTGACGATTTCTTCAATCTGTGGATGGATCGCTTGTCAGAGCTCGAGACTTGAGCTCCATCGAAACATCCGAGTTGCGAGGTCCCTGACTTTCGGCAACATGCGTGTAAGATAGAAACTCTGTGTCTTCCCGAATTCTCACACAGTTTCAATTTCAACACCCTCCAGCCTAGTTTCCTTCCGGCATCAACTGCGAAGCAACAGACGTGCGGTAGAGTTGTTGACGAATGGACAAAGAGGGTTTCAGGATGTAAGGGACCAGAATACAGAGTCTATGTAGCCGGATGGATACTTAATGCATGGACCACCAAAGAAGTATCCCTGCTTCGAAGAATCCCTCCAAAACACCCAGTCCAGGCTTGGTTTTGTTGGGACAAACCCGGGCAAGGCAATTAGTGTCATAGAGGGCAGGATCGAAGGTTCGTTCCATGGTGCGGCACGTTTCACATGAGCTTCGGCTCTAGAAGATCAGGTAGTTTCAGAAACATAGGGGACCTGAAGAATAGATAGCGGCAGATTTATGAAGGGACCTCGGACCCTCCAGTAATGCTGCCAAAACCCCAGGAATCGCGGCTACGAGCCAACGCCTTCGATCTGACACCCGCCATGCTCCGGATAATGTGTTAACCGAGCAGGCGAGCAGCTTCGCACGGTTTGCCGTTAGAGGCCATCCATGTCCATGCAGGATATCTTTTGCATTTCGCTGCCGTCGTGCTGCTTCCTCCTCGGCGTCAGATGCTAATATCTTTTTCCTTAGTGCGCTGCCTGATACAGCGGTGGCTACAAGATCTCTCGGAGCTGCGGGTCCGAGGAAAAACCCGGGCAGCCTTTCATGTGACGGGATGGTGTAGGAGTTGTTCAGCATTGTCTTTGCCTGTGGATGCAGCACGAGCACGAGCAAGGCTTGCCGCAGGCCTTCGGTATCCGTCAGCATGACATGAGAGTTGTTCAGCTCGTTCTTCAAGATGTCAACCTCATTGCATCCCCGGCTCGAGAATAGCAGTGAAAGCAACTCCATTGGCCCTGCTATAAAGGCTCCACTGCCGCTTGCTCAGCGGCGCAAGACGATCGAAGCTGTCACCAGAGATGTTCAAGAGTTTCTGGAGGGAGAATAATGGAGAATAGGCAGAAGCAGCAAGATTTTTTCAATGTGAAAGTGGGAGCAGTCCTGGAATTGAATGACATTTAGAACTAGAGCCACGAGGATTCAGGGCATGCCAGCAGCTGCCAAAGTTTGCCCATACACATTCCCTATCAAACCCGCAAAGTTTCTAGAAACACGCGTAGCATGCCAAGGCAGGCAGAGCTCAGCGCTGTACAACACATCGGTGATCGGTTAAAATTCGCTTCGCGCTTCGGCAAGCTTCGAACGAACACACGCACGCACACGCACGCACGCACCCGCACACACACACACACACACACACACGCACCCACACACACACACTTTTACATCCTTACATACATACATCCACACCAATAATACGTGTATACCTACACATGGGAACATACCATATGTTTACAC